TAGGAATTGCAGCAGTCATTCTAAGAACTCTATTTCATTATTGTTAGTTGTTGTCTCAAAAATGGAAGATTAGGGCTGGGAGGAAGAGCCTTCTATGAAGAGAAAGACCTGTCATTATAGGATGCATCTAGGGACTGTTGGAAGACCAGTGGAGGCCTATGCTGTGAGAGTATCTTGGGTACTTAAATATGCTCGAAAATACAGTTGGAGGAATGTGACATGCTTTATGGACACTTTGAAGGCAGTGAACTGGTGGTGGGAGCACTTAATGGAAGGGAGCATGCATGGAGATGAAGCTGATTCTATTAGATTATTATATTTATCTTTTGATTCTTGTACTTTCAAATTTGATTGTGGCATTTGTATAGTTTCAGATTCTATGGCTAATATGGCCATTCAAGGAGATTTGTAGTTCGGATTTTTTAGTGTTATTGGGTTAGTGGTTGAGCTACCCGAACAACTTTTGTGCCTAGTTAGGCCTAGTATTGTAAGACCTTATCATTTGAGTATTATAAATTTGCTTGTTTGACTTGAAAAAAAAAAAATACCTAGGTAAATTCATCATTTCAAAGAGTTCAGGTACAGTCACTAACAACATATATATACATATATATATATATATATATATATATATATATATATATGTGTGTGTGTGTTAATAGATCATATGAGAATAAAAGGCAATGAAAGAAATGAGAATGAATTTGCACCATAGGATCTCGCGTTTCAACGGTGTAGATATAGTCAGTAGATTTTTAATTAATGGTGGCATAATCGTAAATACTAGTGAATATTAAGGCCGGGCAATATGGTAAAATAACGCACTGACAACTCACAGGCATTAATTCCACTCTCTCTCTCCCACGCACCATCTGTCTCCTCACTCATTCTCCCTTCTCTCTCTCTCTCCCCACTCATTAATTCTTCTCCCCTTGTTACAGATGTTCACAAACACATATTACACACACACAACACTTTTCTCACCACCAAACGGCGTGTGGCCGTCGTGTCTCCACCGTGCCTCCATCTTGTCTCCACCGCGCCGCCGCCACGCATCCGCCAAACGACACACACATATGAAACACACACCAACACACACAAGCTCATCGGAGTCGTCGATGGACCTCAGCCGCGCCGCCGCGGACCTCAATCGCGCCGCCGCCGCAAGTACCGCCGGTCACATCGCCGCTGAAACCAGCCCTCCGCCTTCGACCTGGATAACTCCATGTTCATGTATGTGTTCAGCGTTGTTGACCTCTCCCAGTGCTTGTGTAGTCGTCCTATCCCGGCGGCCATTTATCGCTGCCCCGCCGTCTCGTCGAGTCGCCACCGCCATTCCTGTCTCCGCACAAAGACGGGGACAATCCGTGAAGATAAAGTCGGATCTGCATTTTTTTTTTTTGGCAGCGACCTTGCTGTGGCGGCGATTTTTGTTGGGTGATAAAAACGGCGGATGGAAGACCATAGCAAGGGTGACGAACGTCGGGAGTGAGCTCCGGCGTAGGTGAACGAGGTGGCCGATTGAAAATATGATTTAG